CGTTTTTTCTGTGAATGAATTTCTCAACCGTTTTCTATCTATTAATGGTGGCGAAAGGCAACGTTACCGTAATTTTGCGGCCGCTATTTCGCTATCAACCCGTTTTTTGAATCTCTGGGTGAGCACCCCACTATCGGCATTCCAATCTGTCTTCCCAACATTCACCTACAAGAACACCATGATTTCTAGCTAGGTCATTTTCAGCTGATATTGGCCCAAAATGATCAGGCGGTACAGACAAATATCTTCCCACTGGCAGCATTTGCTTTCCCTTTTTTTTTCCTCGCTTTGTAATGAAAGCCTTGTTAGGTCGATCTTGGTTGTGTATAAAATGGTAAACTTTCAAAGGCCCGGCAGTAGCATTTAATTTGATAGCTTTGCCATTCTAATAACAGATACAAGTGTATAATTAATACAAGGCTGGCTTGCCATTTTGGGTGGAATTATTGACTGGCATTTTACACAAGTACGCTTTCGTTGACCTATCCACTTCTGAAAGCATTTAAGGCAGAAATTGTGGCCCCATGGTGCTTGAAACAACATGAATAAGAATTGGGCAAAACCTCAACATTTCTCTGCAAAACATTGAGAGAAAAAAGAGAAAACGAATCATAACAAGCCTGTCAAGTAACTGAATGCAAAAAGAACAGTTTAAGCCTCCATCAAGAACATCCAAAACAGAACTCTCTTCTTTTCCTTCTCCTTTCCCTTTCTTCTCTTTATCTCCATCTTCTTTTACCTTCTCCTTCTCCATCAATGACTCATCTGCCTCTATTACGGCAAAAGCTTGCTAGAGCTTCCATCTACGGAGGTCGCGATTGAGGGGAAAAGGTCACTGGAGCAGTCAGGACAGTGCCACTGCAACGTAGAAGCTAGGGTTTTGGGTCGAGAGGCCAAGCAGGCCACATGCCAAGGAGTGGTAAACGTGCTACAAGTGAGGGTTTCTTCCATCGAAGGGTTAACCTTGTAGCGCATGCATACGCTGTCGCCACCGCATGGAAGCTAGACGTTATCGTGCGCCATTGGGAACGAACACTAAGTTTTGATGCACACGATAAATGATGTTGGATTTGCTGATGGGACTTGATGGGTATGCAAACGAGATGGAGATTGGCGAGAGGAAAAAATTTAGACAAAAAGGCGGGGTTTTAAATGGAATTTGAGTCGAAAATTATATTTACACCCATAATTTTTTTTATACATCTTAAATGGAATTTGAGACGGAAATTCTGTTTACACCTATAAAACGTTTTTTTTACATCTCATTATTAAATAAATAAATAATTTTATTTCTTTTAAATAAATTTATCTAACAAAAATCACATTTTCTTTCCTATTTTTTTAACTTTTTTTTTTTCATTCTAAACTCTAAATCTCAAAGTTAACACTAAAATCATTAAATCAACTATTAAATCACAAAGTTTTTGAATATTTCACTCAATGCAGATAAGATTTCAAAATTTTTGTTCATTAATTTAGTTGAAATACTGCAAAAGTTAAAGTTTTTACAGAAGTCTTAGCATCAAAATCATACTTATTTGAAATGGATTTTTGAAAATTTTAGAAGGTTCTCAAAAATCAATTTCTAAGAGTTTTAAAATCTTTTCACAAATGATTTTTTGAGAATATTTTAAAATTCTTGAAAATTTATTTTTGAAAACCTTAAACGTTGAATGAAATATGAATGGAGTGTAAAATTTTTTTTGTTGAAATCATATTTCTCAAAAAATGAATTTCTAAAAGTTTTAAAAGGTTTTTAAAAATTTATTTTTGAAAATTTTGAAAACTTCTCGAAAATCTATTTTTAAAAGTTTTGATTCGAAAATAAATTTTCAATGAATTTTTGAAAGCCTTAAACATGAGAAAGATAAAATTGTAATTTATTATAATATAAAATTAATATTTTTTATATGTATGTTTTGAGAAAAATACATTAGAATGTAAAAAAAAAAAAAAAATTGATGGTGTATTTAGAACTCTCCATTTGATAGGCTTTTGAAAGTTAGAAGAGGATAAATACGAATCCACGATGTTATCCTATTTGATTAATCTTTTTTAGGTTTCTGCCAATTCTGTTACTCGTTTACTCTATGGTGGGGTTAATTCAGAATTGGGGGTATTAAACAAAAAATGTAGATCATCCGACTTGATTTCCAATTCTGTCCATTGGTAGAGTTCAATCGATGACTAAAAATCTAGTAATAAATAAATAAATCCAGTCACGTCACTATATATATCTTTTTAGTTCAACATCAATAAACATTATTGATTTAGATACTCACTTTTTGGAAAAAAAAACAATTTAGATTTTCACTTTTATTAAAAATATACTAATTATAAAAATCATTATTCTTTTAAAATTTGAAAAAAAAATAGTAGTGTTTGATTTTAATAATTAGAGATTTTTTTGTTTTCTATTTTTTATAAAATATAAAATAAAAGTGACATATTTGATAATTAAAATAAAAGTAAAATAAAAATAGATTCAAGTGAAGATCTACTTTTTCTCACTGATTGTTTTGGATCCAATGATCCAACATTGGATCGCTTTTGTTTTTATTTTTGTTTTTGTTTTTTTTTTTTTTTTTTTAAGTTTTTCTCTTTCAATCATATTGAACGGATAAAAATATTTTTATAAATTTATTTATTTTTTTTAAAAAATATAAAATAATTTTGTTAATTAATGTAATAAAAATTTTATTTTTAATTATTTTTATTAACAAATTATTATTTATCATAAAAATAGTTTAATAATTATTTATTTATTAATTTTATAAATATTAAATATTTTAAAATTTTTATTACATATAAATTTTAATATAATATTTTTAATGATCATTCTCTTCTCATCATAATTCAACTTATCGCTACAGTAAATATATATATCAAAATACATATTCTTACAATTGATTTTAATCACACAATTACAATAATCAATTTTACCTTTACCACTATTTTTAATTTTACCAAAAGTAATCTTATTTACCATCCAAATGGACACTTAATTGATAAATGAGACAGATACAAGGGATGGGAGAATAGAATGCCATCTCACATAATTTAATTTGATTCACATATTCTCTTTGCCTCATCTTTAATTTTTTTTGATAAAAAAATTTATATTAAATTTATAAATCATTCATCTACAAAGATTATTAATAGTTGAAATTGAATATAAATTTTATAAACAAAATATTTGATTCTTATGGATTCAACCAATCTTTATTGTTACTTTTTTCAACTACTTTCACTTTTAATTTATCTATATTTAAAATTTATTTTTTAATATTTTGATAATAAAAAGTATGATACATCAATATTATAAAAAGTTTTAGATTTATAATAATAAATATATAAAAATTAAAAGCATAAGAGGTAAAAAAAATCTTCAAACAAAACTTCAATAATAATTTAAGAGGTAAAAAAAATCTTCAAACAAAACTTCAATAATAATTTAAGTTATTAAAATTTTATTATAATTAATTAAGTCTTAAATCTTCTATTTTGAATCAGTTAAACATTTAAATATTTATTTGTACTCATTTAAACCTTTAAATATATATTTTTACTTCAATAAATTCTCGATTGAACCAAACTAATTAATCGTTTTTCCTCTATCAAGGTTAAATTAGTGAAAGTAGATATTTGAGAATTTAATTGATTGTAAAAAAAAATAAAAACTTAAATGATTATTAAATTTTAGTTATTTTTTTTTTGTTAATATAGATGATAATTAAAGAGCCACACTTAAAATGCGGAGAGAGTTATAAATTGGTGACTGCATTGAAGTACCTTACGTCATTAATCAGAAAAATTGTTTAGAGAAATACCCTATATAATGGTATCATATATCTACTCGTGCAGCTCATTTTCACTTCTCAAGCTCTTCCTCGCTCTTTCATTTATCCTTCAAAACCTTAAAGCCGCCACCGCCCCAAACGCCAATAAAAATTACTATAAAATTATTATAAAATTGATGTGTGATTTTTTTTTTCAAAATTATTATAATATTTTTATTAAATTATATATTAAAATTGTAACATAATTGAAAATTAATCACAAATTAAATTATTAAAATATTATTATTATTTTTTAAAAATTTGATATGTGATATTTTATTTAAAAATTACTATAATCCTATTATTAAATTACATATGAAGTTTTAATATAATATAAAATTAATTATATATTAAATTATTAAAAATACTTTTATCATTGCTTCTAAAAATTATAAAAATTTGACATGTGAAATTTTATTTGAAATTTATTTATAGTATTCATACTAAATTACTTATTAAATGTTAAAAAACATATATTAAAACAATTCTTAAAAAAATTAATATAATATTTATTTATTTATTTAATATAATTTTCACACATATCCAAATTTACCATAATGACATTTTACTATAATTATAAAAATATTTTTTCTCATAATTAGTTAAAATTATTATAATACCATTTTGTTATAATTAGAGAAATATTTCCTACAGTAATTAACTAAAATTATAATAATGTATTTTTATTATAATTATAAAAATATTTTTTATTATAATTGATCAAAATTATTATAATATCTTCGTATCATACTTATGAAAATGTCTTTATTATCATAATTAAATTAAAATTATTATAATATTATTATATAATAATCATATAAATACTCTAACGAGTGCTTTATAAAAAAATTCTTATGATATGATATTTTAAAATTATTATAATATGCCTATTAAATTTCGTATTAATTTTTAATATAATATAAAATTAATTACATATTAAATTATTAAAATATTTTTATCATTGTTTTATAAAGTTTGATGTGTGATATTTTGTTAAAAATAATCAAAATTAAATGATTAAGTGATTGAAATATTTATAATTTTTATTTAAAAAATTAAAAAATTCATATTTTAAAATAAAAATATTTAATCCCCGACTTAGTCGGGACTAATATACGTGAAATTTACAGAGTTAAAACTTGGTGGCTAGATTGAAGAACCTTAAGTCGTTAGTCAGAAAAATTATTTAGGTAAAAATGAAACCCTAATTCCCTATGTAGCGGTACCATATATATACTTCTTATACAGCTCTTTTTCACTTCTCAGACTCTTACTTAGCCTTTCATTTATCCTTCAAAACCCTAAAAGCCGCTACCGATCCAAACGCCAACGAAAATGGCCGTCTCTGAGGGATTGGTTTTACGCGGCACCATGCGAGCCCACACGGACATGGTCACAGCCATAGCCACTCCCATCGACAACTCCGACATGATCGTCACTTCCTCACGCGACAAATCCATCATACTTTGGCATTTAACCAAAGACGAAAAGACCTACGGCGTCCCTCGTCGTCGTCTCACCGGCCACTCTCATTTTGTCCAAGACGTTGTCCTCTCATCCGATTCCCAGTTCGCTCTCTCCGGTTCTTGGGACGGTGAGCTTCGTCTATGGGACTTAACCACTGGAACCTCCGCTCGCCGCTTCGTCGGCCACACCAAAGATGTGCTCTCCGTTGCCTTTTCCATTGACAACCGTCAGATCGTTTCGGCTTCCCGTGATCGAACTATCAGGCTTTGGAATACACTTGGAGAATGCAAATACACAATCCAAGACGGCGAAGCTCACACCGATTGGGTCAGCTGTGTTCGTTTTAGCCCAAATCCTCTCCAACCAACCATCGTTTCGGCTTCGTGGGATAAGACTGTGAAAGTTTGGAACCTTACCAACTGTAAGATTCGTAACACGTTGACCGGACACACCGGTTATGTGAACACGGTGGCGGTTTCGCCTGATGGGTCTTTATGTGCTAGTGGAGGAAAAGATGGGGTGATTCTGTTGTGGGATTTGGCTGAAGGAAAGAAACTTTACAGTCTCGAAGCGGGTGCGGTCATTCACTCTCTTTGCTTTAGTCCGAACAGGTACTGGCTTTGTGCTGCCACGGAGCAGAGCATCAAGATCTGGGATCTGGAGAGCAAGAGCATTGTGGAAGACTTGAAGGTTGATCTCAAGACTGAGGCCGAGAAATCTGAAGTCACAGACAACGCAACCAAGAAGAAGGTAAAAATGCTTTTTTTTTTTTGTCATTACTATTCTATATTTCTAAGTATTTTTATCCGTCTATTTGTTTAGCTAAGTCGTTTTTGCTGTCTGTTTTATTGTGTTTGCTCTCAATCTGTTTTTGTTTATTAGCAATGTCATAATTTGGTTGAATGTTTTGATTTAATTTGTTTACTAATTTGGTAGGAAATTTTAGATGCAATGTAGCTTTACTGTTATTACTTTTTGAACAAATGCTATAGCTATTCTGGCATCCTAAGAATCTGATTGGCTTTTGTATTTTGACATATGATGATGGAGATTACTTGTTATTCTGTATGTTCTGAATATATAGGTGGTAATGTTGCTGCATGGTGAATACCATTTACCATGAATTTATTGAGACAACCCTTACTCTCTCTTTTGATTGTTTCTTTTTCACTTTTATAGAACCTTTATATTTTTTCCAAAATTTTAGATACTGTTTCTTGAGCACATATAGACTAGTTTGTATCTTGTTTCGGAATGCTTCTTCCATATTGCTGCTACATTTGTAATAATAATCATGCTTCTTATGAAGTTTATTCTCTCAAAACGCACTACTGTAATGCTCAATGGTAAATTTGTGCCCGGGATCTGCTTTTTTTCTCAAGTTGTAGAGTAAAGCTTTTACTTTTAAATCAAATTTATATTCTGGATTGGTTTATTTTGTTATTCCAGTGCAGAAGTTGGTTTAATAATTCTTGGCTTAATTCAGCAATTGGCATTGTCAAGATAAGGATGGAATTATTTTCATTGTATTGCAAGCATTTAGAGTATTCATTTATTTGGATTTATGCAGGTCATATACTGCACAAGTTTGAACTGGAGTGCAGATGGAAGCACCTTGTTTAGTGGTTATACAGATGGTGTAATCAGAGTTTGGGGAATTGGTCGATACTAAATGCTTCAGTAATCACAATATGAACTTTTCGTGAAGGATTGATTAGTTGCCCTGTCATAGCAGTTCCAAACCTAGTTAAGATTTTGTTTAAAATGTTGAATGATCTTTGGCTTGTTTTTCTTCTGTTTGGATATTGCTAGGCATTGATGCCTAAGCCATTTTGGTTTGGTTGTTAATTTAGATATTTTAATTATTGGCGTTAGTTGTTTTCCTATATGGTTTGTGCCCAAGTTTTTTACTTTGAATTTGCTCAAAGAGTATAGAGAAGAAAGTATATTGGTACCAGTTTTGGTTCCTTCCTCTCAAATTATAATTCAAAATAATATAGTAATAAGTAAAATAATCCACATGTGCTTAGCGGAATTGAACTATTTTTTTAGAACTTTAAATTTCGTTTTTTTATTTTTTAGTTTGATCGAAAAATATTTTCCAGCATAAGAAATTTTACATTTCAACGGTATCAAAGTAAGGAAAATGAAAATCTGTTCTTTTAGTTTTTTTAAATTTTTAAGGAAAAGTGACAAATTTTTTCCTTTGTCTTCATTTAAGCGCTTTTTCAGGCCATATAGATACCATTATTTACTTAAAAAATGCGGTAATTTTATATTTTATATTTTTATAGTTTTGATAATGATTAAAATTTTATATTAACCAAAATTTTGATCGAAATATTAAAACTTAAATATTAAATAAAAAATATATAAAATTATCTATTTAATTCAAGTTATTAAAGTTTTTAATTTAATATTTTGATATTTGAATATTTTTGTTGAATGATTTTATTTAATTTGTCACATAAAAAATAAGAATTTAAAATATAATTTAATTTAATGTATTTTATTATTTAATTAATCAAAAAAATTAATGAAATTAATCAAATTAATTTCGATGAGTGAATTTTCAAAATTAAAAAATTTAATTTAATTAATAAAAATATAATAAAATAATTTAATTAATTTAATTTTGAGTAATTCAATTTGAAATTGACCGAATGAACAACCCAAACCTTTCTTTATTATGAATTTTCGTTCCTTTCCCCCCCAAAACAAAGCCTTCAGCTGCTTGGTTCCTGCTATTTCTGGTTTTTGGATGAATTGACCCTAGAAATTAAGGTTGAAAACTTAAAAAGTCATTTAACCATTGATAGAAACAGGAATAAGATTAGATTGTAGTAACATAATATTTCCTCTCCATTTAATAGGATAAGAAATGTTTAGCATACAGTGAGGCTGTAAATATCTTACTTCTATTTCTATTATTCAATTAAAAAAAAAGGGGCGCCGGTTAAAAGAAATAAAAACAATCTGATTTCAAGAATGGGGACGAATACTAGATCCTATAAAGCAACATTCCGATATCATTTTCTCTCTGCAAAATGTAACGTTTACCTAGATACAAAATTTTCAAAGCCAGGCGAAGGGAAGTGCAATCAATCATTGTGCCTCAGAGTTCATCAACCTCTTTGGCAGGAAGGCAGGCGACTCAGATCCCGTAATCATACAAGAGGAAGTTCCTTGGTTGCCACTTTGTGCGATGTTAGCCGCCTGCCTCTTCTTTAATCTCTTGCGCAAGCACACAAGAGTAATGTCATCGGCCTGCAAATTACCTTCCTGATTGATCCTGCCTGGTTTTCTCACCACTTCAGGGGAAGCAACAGACCACAATATGTCACTAGTTTGCTTCAATCTGCTGTGGAATGTAGAATTTTAGGAATTGCCCTGTTAGGGGCATTTGATGGTCATAAGGGTATATTGATCTTTTCTCCTCTCAAAGCCTTCAACATACAATTAAGGATATTTTTGTCATTTGCATCGACTTGACCTAACACAATCAGTGACACCTCAACTTGGCCTTGTCAAAATTATCCCTTTATGGTCCCTCTCAGGTTACTTATAAATATGAAGACTCAGACACCATGAAGGCAAGTTCATCCCACTCACTTTTCTCTCTCCTGATTATTTTTTTGTTGACCTACTTTTTACTAACTTGTGCATCAGAATGCAAATGCAAGGAATACCCCTTACCTTTACTTCTAATCGTCTTTCCCTCTGTATTTAAGGGAATACTCTCAAGTCAGTGCCTGACACCAACATTTGACGCCCAAGTAGGGGACATATTGTATTAGTGGAGTACAAAACAATGCCACCCAGAAAAAAAAACCCAAGAAGAAAGAGAGGTAGCCGTCCTAGCTGGAATAGAAACTCACCTTAGCCAACATTTTGTTTGCCTAGCTCAACTATAAGCGGGACCAACCATGGAACAATTTCAAGCCTTGATAAAACAAATATAGGCTCTCAAGCGGATACTGCAAACTATAATCCCTCTGTAAGTCTCAAAAGTACCGGACTTAGTCATATCTAGTTGAAAAGTCATTGTCAGACAACCAAGTTACGAAGAGGTGGAAACCTCCTTAGCCTCTAAATAAGAACACACAAACTCAACTCATCACCATCCCGGTCACAATTCCACACATGCCACAACCTAAAAATTCAAACAAACAGATCATGAATTTTAATCGAATAGAGATTTGGAAGCTCAAATGCAAGCCATGGAAAAAAAAGCTAAAAACAAAGGCAGTGGCATTTGAGGATGAGCTTATGTTCCTAGAGACCTCACATTTTACTAAAGAAATAGACAGAGCCATGCCTCCCAAAGGATTTAAAATACTAATCTTGGAGACATATGACAATATTTCTGACCCCTTTGATAATTTGAAACTTTGTAGAAATAACATAATGATGCAAGGGGCAGACGAAGCTCTTACGTGTAAAACTCTAGTCACTATGTTAAAAGACACAACTCGATCTTGTTATAATAGTCTGGAGCTGAGGTCAATCACTACATTTAAGGAACTGTAACTCATTCTTGTCTAGATTTGTTAGTAGTCGAAGAGCAAAGAAAATGACCATAAGTTTGATGTCAATTCATTAAGGGTGAAATGAAACTTTGAAAAGCTATATCACGCATTTTAAAGCGGAAGCTCTACAAGTTAAAGACCTGGAATAGATGGTAACTGTTGCCACATTAACAAGTGGACTCAATGATAAAGAGTGCCATTTTAAACTGACATTGTCATTAGAACTGCTAAAAGCTCTGACCGACGTCCTGCTATAGCAGAAATACATTAATGCTGAAGCTACAATGAAAAAAATCAAGGTGAAAGAAGCTCATCTCCCTTTCGATCATAAAAAAGGTAAAGATTTTTATGATCATCCCCTAAGAGGGAGACAACATAGGGCTAGAAGCCCCAGTGGAGAAAGAGGCTACATTGCACTGAATACCTCATGTGAGAGGATTCTAATGCAAATTGAAAGAAATCTCAACCTCAGATGGCCTAAACCACTAAGACAGAACGCAAGAAGGGATCCAACAGAAAGATGTGCCTTTTATAGGGACATCAACCATAATATTGAAGATTGTGTTAACCTAAAAAATGTGATTAAAGCTCTGATAAGATGATGTCAGTTGAAGAGATTTATGGGATAGAGAAGGTAAGATCAACCTAGAATGGACTATAGACAAGACCATAAAACACCTACCCTAGGTAGAAAGGGAAAAGTAGAGTAGGAAATAAAGGATGCCTGAGAAAAAAAGTCAAATCAAGAAGAGGGTCGAGCTGACAATAACATGCTGATTGTCGGGGTGATTAATGTGATCACAGAAGGTAGCTCCACTTTAGCAAAAAGGAAGTTTAACCTGGGCATGGTTATGATAGTAGGCACTTTGACCAAAAAAGAAAAAGACTAGAGAGATGAGTTGATTTCATTTAGCTCAAAAGATCTAGAAGGAATCCAATAGCCACACGATGATGCCATAGTGATCATAGTTTTGGTGTATAGTAGTTAAAAGAATCTTATTTGACAATGAGAGTTTGATCGACTTTATGTACTATGGTTATTTGAAGAAAATAAGGATTGGTAAAAATTAGTTGAAGTTGATCACCACTATATTAGTAGGGTTTGAGAATGAGCAGGTGCTCGTAAAAGAAACTATCAAGCTTTCAATCTCCTTAGGGATTGAACTGAAGACAATTACCTTAGTCATAGAATTCATGATAGTGGATGTCCCATCTGCCTATAACATGATATTATACTAACCTAGCTAGTCTGTTATACAGCTTATAGGCTCAGCTTCCCATTTAAAAGTGAAATTCCTAACACTTGAAGGGGTTGGAGAAGTTCGAAGAGACCAGTCCATGGCACGACAATGTTATGTCACAACAATAAAAGGTAGGACTGGAAAGCAAACAAACAACTTGATCAATACCGAGGTGGAAAGCAAAAAAGAGCCAACATAGGGAATTGACAAGAAGAAGGAAATCACTAACAAAAGCACAAAATCTAAGACCGACCTGGGAGAAGCATGCTCTTGAGCCACTCTAAGTTCCTAAGCTTTGGAAAAGTTTAATTTTGTTTAATTTTTTGAATTTTTTTAGACAACACTAGAAACAATCGAGCTCTTAAACCTGTGTAAACACTTTACTGGTACTTGGATTGAGCTAACACATCAGTCAAAACACAGCATGAAATGAAGAATATACTTCACTTTTATTGATACGTTCAACAAGTTTTTCAATATACTAATCATCACATCACGATTTATTTTTTGTAAGAAATGATCCCAACCTAATTGAACAAAAATAGATAATTGATTAAAGATCAAACTCGAATGCAAACTGACTCAAACTAGCTGAAAATCTCATGACAATCTTATTTTGGAATAATATTCCTTAAAAATACATATAGATGAGAGTCAAGCTCCAATATAAAGACTAATTAATTCAACTCATAAAAGATAATATTGACTTGTTTGCTTGGACACCGTCTAATATGCTCAAAATTGATACTGAAGTGATGGTCTATAGACTACACACTAATTCTGAGGTAAAATTAGTTTGGCAAAAGAAAAAAATTTTTGCCTCTAAAAAATAATAGGCCGTTAAGGAAAAAGTTGACAAATTATTATGAGCTGACTTTATTAGAGAAGTCTACTACTTTGAGTGGATATCCGATATGATTATGGTTAAAAACATAGCAAAAAATAGAGGATGTGTGAACTTTATTGACTTGAATAAAGCTTGCCTAAAAGATAATTTTCCCTTCCTAACATAGATCGACTACTAGATGATAGTGCCAAGCATGGCCTCATTCGCTTCATGGATGTTTATTTCTGCTATAATTAGATCAAAATATTAAAAAATGATGAGGATAAAAT